GTGCCTTTTACATAAATCCACATATGTATATATTCAGTGGTTATCCTCCCGATTAGTCCCCTAAGGACTACAGTATGAAGAAAGCATTATGTAAACACAGGACCTTTAACACTGCTTCCTGTGGAAGGAACTATAGAAATGAACTATATATCAGTGCGATGCTTGTGCTGGTGGTGGGCGGCAGCTGTATTTACCAGAGGAGTCTGTTTCCTCTGATTTAATGAGCCTCTGGACCACTTCAGAGCTGATGTCACTGTTAACCTAGGAGCAAGAGTGGGATTTCGCCACCTGGTGATAATAGATAATGAACCATTAGAACAGTTTGTTTTGCTCTCCACATTCACTGCCTTTGTTTTGTCGCTGTAGGTGTAAATTAAAATGTGCTCTGCATCCAGACATTTATCATTTGGCACTAAAAATTTCTGTATATATATATATATATATATATATATATATATATATATATATGAATATATATATATATGAATATATGAATGATCTAGTGGGGCAAAAAACTAACAAACACCCGAAATCTAAAAAGGAGACAGACCCTTGCCGAAGCTCATCCCTCTTTCTTGTAAGCCCCACTAATGACTTGACCACAGGCAAACGCACCTGCTTCTTATGGAATCAGAAAGCCAACCCTGAATTCACGGCTTCACAGGGTTGAAACTCTGCTCTCCCTGGTGAAATTCCTCTGCACTAAACCCATTGCACCACCATAGCCTTTTCTGTGCATGAACTGCTTTGCTCTTTTTACTATTTTAATCTGCTTTCCTGATCTGATTTCTCTGATCAAGTGTATAAGATCTGTGTCCCTCACAGGCAACAAGCATGAAAACAAAGCCTCAAGGAGGTGCGCCAGTCTACTTCCCTCTCAGAGCACTTAAATTACACTGTGCTGAAAGGTTATTATTGATTTCTTTTGTCCAGTGATGACAAAACATAAAGTCTAATAGACTATTAAAGTCCGCCTGTGGATGTTTTTGGCCTTGATCTGCACAACTGAGAAAGCATTTATTTTGTTTCATTTGCCTTGAATGCAAGGATACGCAGCCTGAGGCATTATACAGTTCTTTCAGGATTTTCACATTAATGTATTGAAGGTGTTTTGCAAAATATAATTTGAGGATGTTAGGTAATACATCGAGGTATCAAATAAGGTATCAAATTGCTTGATGAGTAATGCAGAATATAAACCTTCTGTTTGTCAAGTCAGCTCCAGAGAACAAACACTAAAAGTCTAAAAGAGACTACAGAGGAGAGGACAGACAGTTGTACCACAGCCAGGAAGCCAGCCGCCCACTGGTGGAACACTGATGGTATTTTACCTTTGAAAAGAACAATGCTAGCCAAAAACCAACCCTGTAACTGAGTGGACTCCCAGTAACCAAACCAGTCTCACCTAAAACAAAGCAAAGCATTTAACTGTATCACTGTTTGGCATTTAAAAATAACATCCCCTTTCACTGTTCATCTTATAACAAATTAGTATTCTTAATTTATTGGTTGGCGTCAAATAACAATTTGAAGCGCATCGAACAAGAGCAAGTAACCTCTAGGGGTTAAGTTTAATATTATTATATTATTAAATTACATCAACAGTTTGCTCTGTGCATTTTTACAAATTACTAACAGTTATTTGTATGTAGAGTTTCATTGTGAGCGCTTCTCACCGTAGTCAACTCCACAGTTTCCAACAATTCTTCAAGACTTCCAAAACTGAGGTGCTCAGCACTCACCCCATCTTACTGTCACTACATAACTTTAAAAACACTTAGACATTTAACAAGTTCCACAGGCGTTCAACTTTTAATGACTCTTGAAAACAAGTGTACACACTCAGGTCGTGGCCCTCACCTGACTGGTTTCTGCCCCTGCAAGTATTCCCTTTGACATTTATGCACTATAGCCATGGACGCTCAGTTGAGTTGTCACATAGGTGGAGAATAATCTAATAGAATATAGCATATACAAGTTACATACAGACACATACAATATATGTCATGCTGTTTTTTTTTACAGTTAGGTCCATACATTTTTGGAGAATGGCCAGTTTTTAGAGGTTTTGCCTCGGTACATCACTACAGTGGATTTTAAATAAAACAATGGAGATGTGATTGAAGTGAAAAACTTTCAGGTTCAATTCATAGACAGTTAATGCATTGCATTAACTGTTGGCTTGTTATTGAGCTAAATAGTGCGTTCCTTCATTTAATAAATGCACCAGATTATTGATTTGGCCACTCATAAGGTTTTTGCTGTCTCTCTGATCCCCCACACCCACACCCACTAACACTGACATGTCTAAATGCAGTTTCAACACTTGAAACTGCATTTAGATCTTTTCTCTAGATCTTTTGCTGCATAAAAGAAAAACAACAAGGAAGCAGGCCTCACCTGCCCATAAAACTGCTTGTTGGTCAGTTGTCTAATTATTTTTGAGCCTCTGAAAATGGGCAGATATGTATAAAAATGGCCATAATTCCTAAGATAGACTTTTGTTAAGACTTTTGATGTAAAGCTGAAAGACTACACTTCAATAATATCTTAATTGCTATATTTAAAACACGTTGATGGTACACAGGAGCAAGAATACAACAAATGTGCAAAAATGTATAGACATAACTACTTAGGAGTTAGATACATGTAAATTAGTTGGAAGACTTAATTTTTTGTCTTGTTCATGATTTGTTTCCTGATGTAACAGCCACTGACTCTTAATTTTTTTTAAGCTAACACAACTATTCTGAATCAGTTTGATACGGTTTATGCAGGAAGATAAATAATCATGTTAATTGTATTTCTTCTCATTCTCCATTCTCTGGAGTTTACTGTGCAGGCAGAGATTTGTTAACGTTTTTAACGTATTAAATTAGTTATTGCAGTGTGCTCAACGATCAGCTCATTTTCTAATGTAGATCTCAATACATCTTACATTTCTGCATGTTTTACAGTCTGCACAGCACACACATCTCTTACTAACCTATCACTGAGAGTCCTTGAAACACTGATGATTTAGGCTTATGTTATGATTACAAAGTGACATCCGCTGTGTATATTTCCCATGCCAAACACATCTGTAACTGTGCACTTCTAGCTAACCATAAAGAGGCTCTTTCCTGTTTGTCAAATCTATTTTTGCCCATCAGCTCTTTTATGTAATTTTCAGTCTTTTTTGTTCATCCAAGGGAAACTGAACCCCTTTTAGAGCAATGTGATTCAGACTTGCATTTGTATTTCATAAGCTGCATTTGCGGCATCTACTGTTTAGGTGCCAAAAATGGTTTCAGAACGGTATAACATCTTAAAATGTATTTAAAAGGCTAAATTAAGCATGCAGCTGCTTTGTCAAAGAAGCTTTTGTGAGCTGCTCATGTGTGCCCCGTTAAATTCAATTTGCAATTCTGAAGTGAGTGAATTTGCCAGTTCAGTGGTTGAAAAAATACAAAGCACGCTGTTGAAGTATTCCCATTATTCCAAAAACAGTGTACTTGTGTTCTGTACCTCAGTAACTGTCTCTTGATTCCAGTGGAGAGCTGTCAAACAGCCCCTCCTGTTTCAGAACTCCATTCACAAGTTCTTGTCTCCCTCTGCAGGACATCAGCAGAGCTCACCATTTACTTTTAGTTTTCTCTGGTCTCACTAGCTGTCACTGTAATACAAGCTATAAATTGTGCATGTTATGTTTCATCATTTATAGCTGGGATACGCGATATTTATACCAGATTTAATCTTTTTTAAGGTCATTTCCCAATCTGTGTTTCACCTGAGTCAAAGTGAGATTATGATTAAAAGTTGGTCATTTTAAGTTCTGCTAAATGGACATAATCAAAAGCATATTTAATTTAAATAAAACCATAATATTGCCAAAATGCATCATGTCTAATTATGGTCTTTATTTTTTATAGCATTTAAAGTTTTTCACCCACTAAACCTAATACTACGAGGAGCAGTTACTCACCTGAAGCCCAGGACACTGACTCATGTCTGAAAAAATGAGTCTTCAAAGTGTCTGCAAGAGGATAAAGCCACCTTTATTCCACACAACTGTTGCTCAGCAGCTTCCACTGCCATATTTACTCATATTTTAACGCCATATCAATGCACCTAAACGGCCGGCTAATGAAGTAATTAGCCAGTTGTGACTTGGGCATGTTTTAAATCTGGATTAAAGTGTGGCGTTTCATTTGCAGTTAACAAAATATAAATTTTGTGCTCAGTTGAGCTTGATGGCCTTTTTGTGAGGATGATCTCAGAGCGCTTTTTTTTTTTTTTTTTGGAAATAACACAAAAATGAGCTGAATGAAATGCCATGCTCATCATGTATTTCATTCTTAACCGATTTCACACAGTTAATCTGTATGCACTCCAAACTCATTACACCATAGAGTGCTAAAGGGCACATTAGTCATCCAGGCATATCTGTGCGCGAGTGGGCCGCAGACGCCTCATGCAGAGAAGCCCACGTGCTTCTTTTTCACCCATGATGATGATGTCATATCCAGAGACTTCCTGAACACAAGGTTCATTCACACAGCCCTCCTCCCGAAAAAGGGCCGAACACCAAACAAGCTATCTCCATAGCAACTGCAGCCTCGGGGTAGCATGTGAGTCCCCTTCTTGTTGTTATTTGTTATTTGAAGGAGGATTCAAAACTGTGTGTGTACTGTCCTCCCTCACGTGTGCCCGTGTAAATACCGCATGACATTCAAAGAGTCGAGTTCTGGATATTTTCATTCCGTATAAGCTATTAGCAAACATACAGAGTCTCCGATGAATAGGACTACATCTGTCCCTGGCGCAGTACAGGAAGGGAGTAGTTGATGAGTCACTGTCTTCTTTGGGCCTATTAATTTACAATTTTCCTCTCGAAAATGAAGAGACCGTTTTAGCTTATATGCCCAGAATATTTAAGGTTGATCAGAATCTAAATGCATGTTAAATTATTCATTCACTCCATTAATAGGAAAAGTGACACATTTAAACAAACACCATCATAATGTGTGGCGGGATTATTTATTGCTTCATTCAGGAATACAAAAATGGCATCAATAGTTGGTTGTTTTTTTTTTATTAAATTTTAATTTTTTAGAGGCACAAAGGCTCAAACAGATTGATGACAATTCTCATCATAGAAAATTGAATAAGACAGTATTAATAACATTTCCATTACCATAGGATGTAAAATAATAAGACAGACAAAAATATACTATAAAACTACTATAGGTAAGGTTAATGTAAATCCCTTCAGATTACAGATACATGGCAATAAAACAAAGACAACATATGTGTATTCTAAAGAAAAAGAGAGAAAATGATATATGACAACAAATTACTTCTCTTAACGCTTTATTTACTATTTACACAAAAGGGGAAAAAGGTGCTTCATACAAATTACATTCAAGAAATGTCAGATGCACTTGTACTGCACTGGCTCAATGAGAAATATCCTTAAATGATCAATATTAGCTTTACGAATATAACAAAATATAGTTATTTTCTATCAAATAGGTCCACATCAAGTGCTAACTCTTGCGACTCAGGCCTACATTTTACTTTAATGTATTTTTACTGCTTTAGAGTTACATAACTGGCACTTTGTATTTAATGTACTACTGTTCACTCAGAATTACACTTAAACATGTGCTTTTCTATTTAAGGCGAGATATATGAGCACATCGGTAATCCTGACTGTATAGCTATTTTGTGCTTATGTTTTATGGCAATTACAGAAAATAATTTCTATGCTCTTTGCATCTGCAAGCACAATAGTTCTGAATAGACAGGCAATTAGCTCCAAGCATAATGATGGCCATTGTGGATAAATTCAAAATGCAGCTATTCACAAAACAATACACAGTTTAAACTTTGGACATTTTGTTGCTGAGTTGTTATTACAATTTTTAAAAAAAGAACAAAATATCAAATTAAATCAAATGATCTCACTTTAGTTTGCATGAGTGAGACTTAAGTTAGATTGTTAGCTGCAATATTGGGAAATAAAACCTCAACTATTGTGCATGGAAATCATTTAAAAATGAAGCACACGTCCCCATAAAGCTATCTTGGCACCTGGATATAATTGAATATATACTATATGAATAGGAAACGGTGCATTATTCACAAATAATATATAAAAATAATAATAATAAACATTGAAATCCCATTCTGAAAAACAGTGCATATTAGGAGATGTCACAACAGTTCATTTGTATATGCTTAAGGCAGCAGTGTGCGCTTCACAAGAAAACTGCACTTAAAATGAGATGATCAACACGTAAGCTTTGGTCAATCTTTACATGTAAAAAAATACATACAAAAAGACAAAACACGCACTTTGTGCACAAAGGATGGAAAAAATGACCAAAAAACAAAGAACGTTGTACGTGTGATGACTTTACATCGCGACATTAACCTGTTGATGTCGTCTTTTATGATAAGGCAAACCGGTGCGGCTTTATTGTCTGGACATTATGGCTATGCTGTTTGTGGACTTCAACATTTTATGTTTTTTCTCTTTGGTTATAAACAGTGTTTCCACCTGAAAAACATCATGAACAACGTAAGGCACAATTTTCTGCCTTTCCTCAGTGGTGTTATCTGTTGGAAACCTGTCGGGTGTTGATGGCAGACATTACGGGTCAAATGAAATCTTCTGTTTGCCAAATGTTTATGGCAGGAAAACATCCAAAACAAACACAGCAGCCATATTTCTATCACCATGGGTAGCGAAAATAAGGAAGAGAAGGTCTGATTGGTAGTGGAAATGCGTCACCTCGATGGACTGCCCGTTAATGTCTGTCTGTTTGTTTGTCGGCGGGGTGGGGGGTAAGGGTATGTTGTCATTTCCTGCTGGAGTCCCTCCTCTATGTCTGACCTCTGGCCTGAACGCCCGTCAGATCCTTTCTTATGATTTCATTCACTGCAAAGAAAAATAAAGACGGCGATATCAGACACTGACGCGATCAGTTTCACAAAGAAATTTCCAAATGATAAGAAAACAATGCCTTCCTGACAACGTAAAACAGTGACATTGATAACATTCCTATTGGAAATATTCCTCAGTGAGAACATTTACAGTCTGACTGATATCCTGTGAAGGGCGTCGATGGAGGGTAGACAAATGCTGCATTTATATAGAGTAACCTCTAGAGGTAGCAAGCAATTGCTGGTTGTTGCTCAGCCGATTACAAGTGTGTGTAAACACACACCGACAGCAGAGGAAGGGGGTTGAAATGGAAACTTTCATGGTGTCACAGCTCTAAAAATAGGAGCACTGTGTGTGTGGGGGGGGGCATACAACTTGCATTCGAAATAATAATAAATACACACATAATAGGTGCAGTTGTTTATCTCTCTCAGCAGCACAGGTTTGAGTTCATGGAGTTTTGTTTTTATCTGCGGAGTAAAACAGCCAAATAGTAGAGACAAGGAAGTGTAACTACTTGCTGTATAGTCTTACTTAAACTTCCTGCCTGCTTAGGTAGTTCAGCGTTAAGAAGCTAGGAATGATGACTATGTGTAATATGTCACTGCTTCACAAATGCCATGCCGTCTGTGTTGAGGTGTGGTGTTTATCTGGCAGCCTGCTGTGTACACTCTGGCTCTCAGACATTGTAGGCTGGTGCCACTGCTTCCACTATGCCCCGGGGAAGTCATTAGGACGGATGAGTAATAAAAGTATTTCAAAGAGGACCAAAAAAAGCTTCTTGCCTGTGACAAAGCCATTACAGAGCATATTATGCCTGTGATTCTGTAACCATGGTAATAGCCTTCATTTTAGGATTGGCTTATTGAACCGTTAAAATGTGATTATCCAGCTAGCGTAGTTCGTATAGCAGTCTGTCAGGTTTGCAGAGTTTTCTGCTAGAGTTTGTTTTTTTCATTCTTTTTTAAAAGGATGCTTCTGATTCTGTTTGACTTGGTATTCCTCATTAAATACACCTTAGTCAGATGTTTTATTTAGGAAATATGCCTCCTTATTAACAGGGTAAACAAGAAACCCACTACAGTCGTGAGCCAATTAGCTTAGCTTAGGGAATAAAAGCATGCTAACCAGTCACCTAAGCTGTCAGTCATTTTTTTATAAGAACCCAAACAAGGAATAATATGTTTACTTGTGGCATTTATAAGGATACCCAACTTTCACACACATTTTTACCTTTAATTTCATGCCACTCGAATAAAAAACATGCTGGGTTTTTCTGCTCTGAGCGAGTTTTTGGCTTACAGCTGTTTGTAGGAGTCTTTCCTCTGATTTTATTAACTACCTGCAGCTTCGTGCGGTGCTACAGCAGCAGGATCCAGATAGTGAGACATCTGCATTGTTGTGTATTGCACAACAGTCATAATTTTCATGACTTGTTATTCCTAATACACAAAATAGTACGTTGCAATATGTACTTTTTTATGCCATTTACTGTTACTATTAAAGTTGGTATTTCGGTGTCTGTGAAATCAGCAAATCATACATGAACCCAATAAAATGTCATCTATGAATGAAACATTTGAGTTATTATTGTGTTGTGGGAACCGAAGGTTAACATAAGTTGCCTTCTTTCTAACCTTACAGAAAATGACTTGCTCATGCTCATTGGGCTACATATGTAATAATTATCCATTGACAAGAATACAAAAAAGTTGATATATATTAAGCTGCCTCTGTAACTTCACACCCACGAATATGAAATATTCAAATCTGATTTTCTAACCACTGTTAGAAAAAAAACTGTCATCTTGCTTTAGATAAAGATAGATTAACTCACTGCAGCCCAACTGTGTATGTTCTATTTCCATCTTTAATTTACATAGTGTCAAAGCTAAGGGTGCGACTACATTTAAGCTCATGTAAAACAATGTCTGACATTATCTCACCCACACAGCTGCACTTCTGAGCAGGCACAGAGCAAACCGAAGACCACAAAATATATTAGAAGCTAGGAAGAGTCGTGTTATGTTTTTTGGTTTGTTTTTCTGACTCGTTTTTGGTGGAGTGTTGTGTGGTTTTTAGGGGATACAAACTATAATTCTAATTCAAACTTAAAGTACCTTTAACCTTAACCCAGTCTTTGTTTCTTTCTCTCAGCCTCTCCCTTGTCTTCCTTTGTGAAAGAGCAGCTCAGCGCTGAGTGCATTTTTTCAGCCAAAGCAGCTTCTGAGACTTCCAGCACTGCAGGAGTAGCCAAACTGGATGCTCTGCTGTCGTCACAACATCGGCCTCCCTGTTTATTTTAGTCTGTAGTGGAATTCCCTCTGACACCCAATGCCTTAAAGAAACTTTCATCTATCCAGCAGTGCCACAGGATTTTTCCTGAGTATAAAACCAGCTTAGAGAAGGAGCAAGAGTGCCACAGAGGAGCAACATACAGTGGGGCTTTACTGATTCGAATGAAGGGTTGGCACACACTGGCAATTTGAGGCAGGCCTAGGGAACACTCAGACTAGTCTGTTCAATAGGTGAGTGTCTGGCTCCTGAGTTCTATACCAATGAGCTGGACTGTTTACCAACCAAAGGTGGGAAGAGAGGAGAGAGAAAGAGAGGGAGAGAAAGGGGAAACTCTGTACAGTAGCTGACTCAGTTGCCTGCTGTGAGCTGGAATGTGTGCGTTTGTGCATCTGCAAGTATCTGCATGTTCATACAGTATACATGTTTGGACATACAGTATTTTTAATATTTTCATATGACCGAATCTATTTAAATGAAGCTCTTATTTCACTGCAATGACACTGAAGCTAAAAACACATCCACTGAAAAGAGAAAGTGGAGGGATCGGACTGACATCTAACTGCTATTCTAACTACAGTTCTGGTGTGTCAGCACTTAGAGTGACAAGCTTGCATTTTCAACCAAAGCTCACACACACACAGTGAAAAAACCTGCTCGCGAGTGTTATTGTTATTTTTCTTGACGCTGGCATGAAGGGACTGATTTGAATCTGATTTGCATGAAAACATTTTCTCCATAATTCATTTTCTGTTCCTATGAGAGTCCAACTGTCAGATTGAGCCTTAAGTAAAAAAAAAAAAAAAAGAAGATTTTTTTATAGGTGTTAAATCCTTTTTGGTTTAATACATTTTGTTGCACATTAGCATTCAGGAGCAGTTTGCATTAAAATAAATTACTCCCCCCCCCTCACTTGTTACTAAAAACATTTGCATTGCTGTATTCGTACTGCACACAGTGCAGACTGCAGATTTTCAGCACCTGAAAGACAAAACAAACAGAGGTTGTTTTGTCTTTCAGGTGCTGATGCAGCAGTTGGAGACCCAGCATGTCTGTTAGATTCATCCTAGACAGCATGTCTTTTGTCCCGTCTTCCTTCTCTCACCCGAACCAGTCACGGCAGCCGCCCCTCCCTGAGCCTGGTTCTGCTGGAGCTTTCTACCTGTTAAAAGGGAGTTTTTCCTTCCCACTGTCACCAAAGTGCTTGATCATAGGGGGTCATATGATTGCTGGGTTTTTCTCTGTATGTATTATTGTAGGGTCTACCTTACAATATAAAGGGCCATGATTTGGCACTGTATAAATAAAACTGAATTGAATAGACCTTTGTCGCCCCCACCCCTTTTTCCTCTTTTTCTATTCCTCTGCCACCTTCTCCTTACTTTAGCCAACCTGGCCTTCCCCCCATGTCTGCTCCAGCATAATACCCACTCTGATATTAATGCAAATAATAAAATAAAATAAATAAACAGAGTCTATAGTGCTCCTTTTGGCAAAGAAAATGTGTTTGGCACAACGAAGCATTCAGACCATGATTCTGCTTGCTAAAAATGTCGGACTGGACAGGTTTAAAAAAAACAAAAAACAATTCGCATTACCGTATTCGTATTACACACAGTGCAGACTGCAGATTTTAAAGCTGTATTGTAGCATAATCGCATCTGGAAGGGCGCGATTGAGTCTTTAAGTCTTTCAAATGAGATGTAAGTGAGCTGAGACTAATGCACGTCCACCAGGCTGTTGCTATGTGCTTTATCTTTCCTGCGCTGATCTCTACCTGCTGGAACAATTTCACCTGCTCCACTGCCTCCAGGCTTTATTCCACACCCACCAAATCTGTCACTTTCAGCCTTTGTACGCTGTGCCAGTTGTTCTATTTTTGCTCTGACAAACTATATGATATGTAGTAACTGATGGGGGTGATTCTTGACCTTTGCGGTTCATAACAAGGCAGGCTCTGACAGGCATCTTTCACCAAGTTGACTAGATAATGTAAATAAATACCAGTCAACAGAAGAACGGTCACGTCTGAATACCAGCAGAGGGCACGGGAACTTTTCGAAGGGCATAAAAATTCAAGCATGGGAGAAATTAGAAGCCACACTTTGTAAGAGAGCAAATAGCAGGTTTTCATTCAACACTCGTCTCTGGAGTTGACACACTTTAAAGTCCCACTGAGATGTGACAGTTACGGACCACAACAGTGTGACGATACCAGGATGTGGCATCACCTCTTTTTCAAAAATGACTATAGACTTTAACACATGGCTTGATGAGTAATGTTGACAATCTCACTTAGGTAAAAAAGTGTTTTATAGCCCTAACATAAATGAGTGTTATGCGGTCAGGATCAAACTTCAGCAACCTTCCACTCAAACTGGAAGGGATTTTTTCTGCCTCACCTATCTTCTCACCCCCTAAAAATGTTTTGACTCTTGGGTAATCCCCCCTCTTTTTCTCACTAAATAGCAATGATGGCATGCGTAGGTGGCCTGTCATCTGTTGGGAGTGATAAGACAATGGCAGAGCAATTGAGCTACAAATGCTACATAAGGTTAATAAGGTTTTTACATTCAGGAATGGTGTGAACTTATAGAACTGGCATTGTCATATTGAAAATTATAAAATCAGTTGACGCTCAGATTAATAAAAGACAGTTTTTAATCCCAGGAACTGCAAGTAGTTTTCATGAGATAAAGGGTTAAAGTTAAACTCAAGCAGGGGCACCTGGGGAAAATGACTGACCGTCATCAGCTTTTGATGATGGGAGGATGAAAGAGGGCCCCAGTTTGACCATTTCTCTAACTCCTTGTTAATTCACCAGCTCACAGCCCTGTTGCTGTTTACTGTGGAGGAAAATCCTGCAAGTTCCATCCAAAAAACACAAATTCCATTGCTAGCCTTTTTTCTTCGTTTCATTTTTTCCATTGAAGCACGCACATGTGCAAACACACACAGCTCCTTCCCTTTTCCTGCGAACTACCCTCCACCCTCCTGCTATCTTACAGGGATCAGGCGGGATCTCTGGAGGACAGCAGCTGCAAATAGGAATTTCTTGTGCCAGATTGGCAGAATCCCGTGGTTGGAAAAAACCTAAACCTCTGGTGGGCTCCCCGACAGAATTGAGGGGCATAGGGCCAAGGAGAAATCCTGGCCAACTATAACAAACAAAAAGGCTTTCCCCAGTTCTCCCAGGCAGCACGTTCCACTGTTTGACAATGGTTGCCATGGAAGTTGTTTTTCACTTCATAACAGTGTCAACATGTCCGGGCGGTCAGCACAGTGACACTTTTTTCTCCCTCTCGCCCTGTCTTTAATGCATGAAAAAGCTCATTTCCTGATGTTTGCCAGTGCCAGATGAACCCCTACGACCAGCAGAATGAGCATTTTTGAATGGAGCAGAGCATTGACGAGCAAAGTCTAACTTTAAAAACCACCCGGCTGACAAAAACCAAAGGTAAGAAAAATACGGCACCGCGTTCAGAGCTGCTGGTTTTATTTTAAAAGATTGGAGGTTTGGAGAAATTCTAAGGAAGAGGTATAACCTCATGCCTGCTGCTGGATGTGGCCTGACATTAATTTTGTCAGAGGGTAGTGGGGTTGACAAGCACAAGTATAAACATATGACTCACAATCCCTGTTATTTCCACCTTGAATGGAACATAACTGCACCTCCCGGCAAGGATTGTTTTAACAGTGCGAGTTTGTTCTGCTGGCTTTGTTCAGAGGAATACTGTAGCACACAGACTGGATCAGGATATGTGAAAAGGAGATACTGTAAATATCCTTGAATTGTTCTTGGGAAAAGTTATATCTTTGTTAGTGGATCTTATCAAATCAGAACTGCACCTATCGATCACATTGTCTGGCCCTGAATCTGGAGACTCAGACACAAGCTGCAATTGACCACTCACACTGAGTATAAAAGCAATAACTTACACTCACCATCATCTAGGTAGGCCTGGTCCAAATTCTCTTCCTTGACAGTCACTCGTCTCTGTCCATCTGCCGAAGCGTCCATCTGCCCCGTCCCAGCTGGAGTTCTGCCTTTCTGCTGCTGAATCACGGTGGGGTAGTGCTGCGGGTGGGTTACTGCTACCTGGGGGGGTGTGGGTGAATGGGTGGCAGCTGCCTGTGGGGAATAGCTATCGCAGTATATGATCTGCTGGTCGTCAGGTTGAGGCCCAGTAAGGGGTTGAGGTTCACCTGCTCGGATCAGGTGGTGGTTGGTGGGAGAGAACTGGATGATAGAGGGGTGTTGACCTGCATTGATTGGCCCCACAGACTGAGCCGGGGAGCCCGTGTGGACCAGGACCGATCTGTGGGGGTCAGGCATCATCCCTCCGGTCTGCCACATAGCAGGGCTGCCACTCAGACTCTTGCCTCCACGTGAGTACACGATGGCCGGGCTCTGCTGCTGGAAACGTGCATCCTGGTTTGGAAGGCTGGAGCTGAGGCGCTGGCAGGGAGCCATGCCAGAGACCAGGCCATTGTCTGGGTGGAGAATGCCACGTGGGCTATGGTAGTAGGAATGAGGAGATAAGCCCAAGATTTGAGGCATGGCAAAGCCCATGCGCTCTGCTTCATACTCATCTATAGGCTCCGTCTTAATGGATGGAGCTGAGGAGGGAAAAAAATGAGTAAGATGGCTGTGAACAATACCACGAAAATCATTTAAATATAATTCTTTAAAAGCAGTATGTGAAAAAAGCATACCAAAAAGAGGCTGAGCAGCATTCTTACATGCCAGTGGTGTGTAGGTGAAATGCTGAGGCTGGCTGCGCTTTCTTTTGCCATTGATGACATAGAAGTTTACTTTGACAGGATGGCAGACAGATGCATCCCGGTAGGGCGGCACCTCCACAAACAGCATACTCTACAAGACAATGCTCTATTATGTACTGAAAGTGATTCATTTATTTGAACTAATGGGTAGATATCCAGAATTTAAGTGTCATGTTTAATACATACAGGTTGGCTTTTGTCTTTATCCACCGTTGCTTCCATTTCCCAGATTTGCTGCCCATCTAGAAAGAAGGAAAGAGAAAGCGAAAACCTAATTACACTTAAGAACATGTGGTAATTAATTCTACAGGGTAAGTGAGGTCGATTGCTTCCAGATGTACTTGACAACGTGCAAATTTGGAAACCGGTGAAACTAAAACGATTGAGAAATTAATTTTCTTTCTTTTTCAAGTGTATTTTTGCTTATTTTATTTCACCAATTCAAACGTAGGGACGTGCATTACTAGACAAATCTACTGTATGTCCCCACGAGTCCCATTTGAGTTACAGTTCATGTCGACAGAAAAGGCATCTTTGTGCTTGGAGATGATATCACTTTTGAAACCACTTCCTCTTACCCCACAACGCACGCCCAACAATAGAGGATCGGTAGGTTTACCCCAAACACACATACAGCCTTCCATTGTTCGGAAAGACATGTGACTTTTGAACGTCCTGAGCCGACTAAATAGTAACGTAACAAGGTGAAACACCTTGGATTATATCTATGGCGGTAAAGGTTTACGTTATCTCACACTTCATCAGATTTAAATGCAGCTGTCATTTATGTGCAAAAGTTGAAAACAACATGTGCCTGCGAACGTAAACTCCACATGCCCCAACACATGACAGGACATGTGCTGCAGCGAGTTCTGTTTGGAGTGCAGTTGGGAAACCCTCTGTCAGATTGTGAATTAATAACACATGGCTAAAATGAGTCAGCAGGAGAAAAGGGGGGATTCCACACATGTTGACAACTTTTTTTCTTAGCTTTCTTTTTATGATCAACTTTCTCCACTGCTACAAAACGTGACCATTTCTGCTTTCTTGGCATTTCTATTTGTTTGCATTTTGTTGCAATTCTACTCCAAGGGATACCCCTGACTGCGTGTACTTTTGGAGATAATTGCATGTGGAGGGGGGGGGGAAAGGGGGCAAGGAATGGAGCTGGAAACAGAGAAAGAAAATTTACTTGGACAGAGAAGCTTTCCTTCTCTCCGTACAGCTTTCCCTGTCCAAGCACAGGAGTCAGGGGAGCTCCAGCCAATAGCAGCTGAGGGATTCAGAGGGATTTCACAGCCTCACTGATCCAGAACTTTGTGTCATACACAAACTCTTCAAAACATCGGCAACCCCTCTTTGTAAGATTTCTTTTTCCATCTCTGTATTACTATCCATTGCTGTTGTTTCATAACACAGCAGCAGGGAACCCCAAAGAAGAAGAAGGAGGAGGAGAGGAGGGGAAGCACCTGCGATGTGCATGTCCAAGTTTTATTTTAGGTAGCCTGTAGATTTAAAAATACAGCATTGATGCCATTTAATCAAAATAAGGGAAACCCAGAACAACAGAACTTCTGACCTTTGACCTAAGACAAGAACCATAAAAGCTCCCAATCATAGTACAAATGCTTCAGTCTGGCGTAAAAATGTCAGAAGGCAAGAAAAATTACTGCACTTCCTCGCTGCTAAAAATAAATCCTTTTGTTCCGTCCATTTGTTTCAACAAATAAAACAAACTTTTATGTGACACCATTGATCAAATAACGAGAGGCCCGTGTGACTGATAAGACATGAAGGTGAGGGAGAAAAGGTCAAAAGGAAGTCAGGCAGCAGCGTTATCCTTCAGATCATGCAAATAATTCACGCAGATTCATCTATTAAATGAAAGCGAAGACACGTAACAGCTATGACCTCGTGCACAGACACGGCCAATTATGACTCATTAGTTGTCGTTCGTGTCGTGTTGTTACTGTCACACAATGTTGTGCAACAGTGGAATTGACAAATCGACAAACACCACAAAGATTTTATGAATTCAGTCACTGATTTGGTTTGAAAGCAAAGCATGTTTTTGGAATGCCGCTTACCCTGTGTTTTCTCCATAAAAATGACCTTGGAATCGGAGCTGAAGTTCTGCCCAGTCAGGATCATCTGCTGGCCACCCAGAACAGAGCAGCTGTCCATGTCCTGCTTCTCGACCATGGGAAGCTCGTGAGCTGAACGCTGAGCTGCAGGGAAACACAAAAGGGTGGCGTGTAACATTTACTGCCTTTCTACTGGTGTCACTTTCTCCAGTGTGTGGATTTTCTGTTTTTCTTTGTTTTTGTGAACATCTTTGCTTTCTATGCTGTTACTTGGACGCTATGCAGCAGGTATTGGCAGTTTTCCCCAGCTCTGACATATCACAGACTACATAACCAATTTTTAGTCATAGCCCAATACTGCAGAAAAGAAAAAAAAGCATGTAACAGATGATCTGAAAGTTCACTATTGATTTCTCACAAATGCAAAACAACTCATTACCAAGAAGTGACAGTGTTTGGCACTAAACATTTGATGCTGAGTCATTCAACAATCTCACCCAGTGCTTTCGGTTTTAATCAGCCGAAGCTTAAAATCAGTCAAATCACAACCTGCAAGAGCAAAGGGGAGTTGTTGCTGTCTCAGCCCATTTACAATCAAGTACCGTACAGACACAAAGAACAAAATAAAACTAACACCGAAAAGAATGATGCAACCTTTAAAAACTGTAAATGTGCTGTGCAGTCAAATCATTCAATCGGACAAATATTTCCAGTTGATTGAAATATGAGAACCGAATTGAACGTTTAGATGAGGCCGATACAAAAATGCATACAATACTCAAACGTGCAGAAAGAAATACACCTGCTTAACTGGAAATGGACATGTTATGTAATATGTATATGTTAAAGGGAAACAGATAATATTCCCGTAGCCATCAGCTTTGTATTCATTTATTCATCTTTTTTTTAAAAAACAAGACAGTTCCTCACTGGTGCCCTATTGTCATCAGTTCAGCCGTATCTCCTGTTCAGCTGAATCTCCACATTTACTGATGGGAACTGAGCTACTGACAAACACGCCGCTGACCTTTAAATCGGCCGGTTCAACCTACTACACTGCAAAAGGGTAGAACAAAGAGGATGACACAAGCAGGTGCCTCATCTCCTCAAACACCCCATCACTGACCCTCTGCTTAACAATACGCCTGACAGATGCAGCACAGGTGTTACTGTGCGCTGCTTTACGCTCGATTGGTTTTCACATACAATGATTTTTCAGAAATTCACCTTTAAAAAAAAAAAAAAAAAAAAAGAGGTAGTAACTGTTGTTTCTCCCTATCTGTGATCCGCGAGCAGATGGAAAAAATACTTACAACATAATATTGTATTCTGCATCATGACTTTTTACAATGGCAGGAGCATATTGCACGCAGATGGTGCAACACTTGACCAGGGTGTTGATTAAAGCCAGATAAAGGCCCTTCTTGTTTGAGTTTTGATTACACCAGGTGCTTTAATAACACTGTGTACACATTCGCTGATGTACCCAAACACAGACTTTACTACTGTGCACATACAAACAGGTACACAGACACTGTCACATGCTGTGCCCACCAACTGGATGGAAGCCCTGGTAGCATAAAGAGGTCTTTCATACTATCAGGCAAGCTCCAAACTCATTTGAATGTGGGTTCTTTTTTCATGTTTGTTTTGTATGAAGTTTTGTTAACTCTTGAAAAGCAGTTTGACCTCAATGGGAAGCGCACATGCTGAAATTCAAAAAGCTCATGGTCTATCAGGATGATATTAGTAGTTACAATAACGCAAAAATAAAACATATTGTTAAATGAAATTGTGTGCAGCTACTTACAGCACTCAATGGGATGTGAGGCCACCTGGAGAGAGACGTGCTGTCCTCCGGGCTGAGGTATGTGCACGCGAAACACAAGTCGGACTCTGGTGTTTTTCCGACCGACGTCCGTCTCGCCCTTCCTCAGCTCGATGTCGGCGTTCCTGAGCTTCAGGATCCCAGCACAGTCGATGCTGCGACGAGAACGAAATGTTCAGAACTTTAATATTTAAAACATTAGACTGCGAAAAGACAGATCTGGGGTTTAAAAGTGGACACTATGCTTATCTCACATTGCTTTCATGTTGTTCTTTGGCTCCAGCGGGATCTCGAGGACTTTGGTGCCGTTGATAATCTTTTCGAAGCTGGTGGTCGTAACTGTTTTGCCAGTGATGCGGTGGACTTGGTAAAAGGCATGAGGCTTGAGGATGCGCTCGTCAGCTGTACCGATAAAAATCTGCAGGCCAAGAGGCTCCTTGCCTCTATAGCCATGTAACTGTAAACGAAGAAATAGCACTCAGTCATTTTCTTTTCTTTTTTTAACTTAAAGCATCCTCTGGAAAGCAAGGAAGCAGAGATACAGTACGAAGGAAATATTTCAGTCACGTTTAACTGGTTGTGCTTCTCCATAACCGCTTTCTCTAACTCTGCATTTCCAGATGTTGCCCCCCCCCCCTCCAGTGATGGCAAATCTGTGTCAGACCCACGTGCAAACACATGAGTCTTTTTTCTGCAGCCTTGAACGGAAGCCAGCAGAGAGCTCAAATCCTACGGCCTTGTACTTGTTCTTTCCGATGGGATGAAGGATTAAGCGGGGATTCTATCTTTTAAAGTTTAGCTGAAATGACAAGTACCATATTGATTAAACCGTGAAGATGAAAAGACCGAGATGCTACTTTTAACCTGTGACTGCCTCCTAAGGAAACCTGCAAAAACCACAAAGCATCAACTTGCATCTAAATGCTGTTTTTATGCAAACTATGTAGTGCATAACCTTTATCATAGAGCACAACCATGAATTGGATTGTGGGTAATGGAAAAAAAAAGGCTCGGGTCCCTCTGCCATTAGCCTGCAACACGCAAAGTTAATTTAAAGTTGTTTCGAAACATAATTTCCATTCAAAAGAGCTCCGTTTAACTGCGGTCAGGGAAAAAAAAATCAACTTGTTTGAAGAAATTATCATCTCAGTGGATGCAACTGTCAGGCTTGACAGCAGCTGCTCAGTGTGAACAGAAGCTATGGCAACATGAATGAGCATGCTCCCCTCCAAACAGAAGGAAGCTGACTGCAAACACTCAAAAGGCCATGTGAGCAGCCGGCCAGTTGTCATGGCATTGGCAGGACCCGTGAGTCATGACAGAGCGCAGTGTAGGAAAAGTAAAGTGGAGGGCAAGAAGCTTAGAGAGAGGCAAAGAGAAGAAGAGAAGGAGGGAGGGGGGACACAGAGAGTGAAAGAAGGGCAGAGGAAGGGAAAGAGGAGGTGAAGGAGTGCAACCGTGGCTAGCCAGGCCTGACCATCTGATTGGCCGGGAAAAGCAGGCAGAACTGACCTCAGGGTGAGGCCTTTGGGGATGGGCATAAAATGGAAAAGAAGCATTAGAAGCTTAATTTCCACAAAGTCCCCACAGTCACAGACAAACACAGCAGTGAAATGTTGCCACAGTAACACAAAGAAAAGGAAGTTGTATCTATTTATGGACCCCAGCTGTAACTGTGTCAAGGCTAATTTTAAAGTGGATATTTGAATCTTATTTTGTGACTAGAGAAAAACTAAAATATTAGTATTTTTCATATTCGTCTGCAATCATTATAACCACAGGCCGTATTCAGTTTCTACACATAGGGGCTGAACGCTTCGATACTTCAACGCAGCTAACGCAAGAACCACACAGTCAAAACCTCTTACACGGAGTGCAAGAGGAAGTCAGAACAGCATGAGAACAAATATGTACATGTGGTTAAAACCATACGGCGAAGGTGCACTATTGCAGACTATTTTAAGCTTTAACACCAAAAAGAAAAGAAAAAAATCTGAGTGTTAGAGTTGATGAGTGACCCGAGGGTTGTCCTGAGTGTGCACCCTGGTTTCAATGCGTCATTTTTCTGGGGTTACAGCAGCTATTTCAATTTGTTTTAGAAAGTGAAAAAAAATGGAGAGGTGCCATGACAGTAGCCACAATAACTAACACAGACTCATTTTCATACAGATGACCCCGGGCAACAATACCACCACTACCGCCGAGTGTATAATGAGTAGGAAATACTATTACACGCAAGCCCTCCCACCAGGGTTGCCTGAGGCTCTCGAGCTGGACGGCTAATTTAAAGCGGAACTGTTACTAGTTTCCTTATTCCTTACTTTGCTGCTGTGTATACTGTCACAGCAGTGGACGATAACAGAATTCAGACTGCTCTAGAAACTGTTCTAGGCACTTTTTTCTGTGCTCGGTTCTGTATGATGTCAGTTAAACGGACACCTGTAATACAACGATTTGAGGCACACAGCTCTGTATGTGAACACAGAATCTCCACCCGTGTTCAAACCTCCTGTTTACAAGGGCCAGCCAATCGGAAGAAAGTTGGCAGACCAGTATAAGAAAAATAAGGATTAGGTTTAGCTGTGAATCATTAGACTACTGAAGTAGAGCCCAAAATATGGGAATGGAAATAACTATGAATGTGCACTTTTATGAATAACCCTGACAACATGACTTCATATGGTTATTCACCAAAGTAAAAAAACAGATTTATTCATATTTACTGATTTAGTACTTAAAAATAAATCATAGGCTTAAGAATTTTACTTAATTTTTTATAGTGATGCTTTTGGCCATACCTGCACAACAGGATGTCCTCCCGTGGGGGCTTTGACTGCACCCCTGCTTCCTTCTGTTTCATAGTGAGCTCTGTGATGTGGTTTAGGCTGCACATCAATGTGCAGTTCATACTGGTCGGTGCGACGAGGAATCGGCCACTCCAGCGGTGGGAGAGAAGCCACAGGGATGCTGCAAAATATTAATTATTCATAAAATTATAGAATTATTGCATAAATAAACACACATGGAGAGTGGGAGCTTATCGGAGTGAAGCCTCACTTCATGGCCAATTTACCTGCAGAGGCTGGAAACCAAAGGCTTGGGCCAGACTGAAGGAATAACAAAGAAAGGCTCTGCAGCAGGTTTGGTCTTTATGTCCTGATCACAGGACACCATGTAGTTCCCATCACCATGATTCTCTGGATACAGAGTGTAAACCTGGTTGGATGTCTTCACTATTTTAGTGGGAACCAGGTTTGGATGATTGGTGCCAAAACCATTCATGGCATCAGTAAGGCTGGTGTGTGTATAGTGGGCGCCTATGTTGTGATCTTCATGGCCGTTATTGGGGGAAGGACTGCGGGACCGGTGCCCAGGGATTAATCCTGGGTTTCTGTACATGTCGTAGGTGCGTTTTCCCTGTGGGGAGGTGGAGCGAGAGCCTGGTCTTGGTGAGGGAGAACGGGGTCCGAGGCCGTCGTCACCTAGGCTGGTGTGAGGAGAGGTGCCTGGGGAGGTGCGAGGGGAGCCAGTGTGGATGTTCTGCAATCGAGGGCAGAGATCTCCAGGGTTCTGCGCACTGCTTGGGGAGACGCAAGGTGACGCCCAGGGAGAATAGTTCTCAGAGTGCCAGCTGGTGGAGGAATTGCTGCTGGCAGGACTCAGGCACTGGGGCTCACGGTAGGCAAGGTTTTCATGGCCCGGGACAGTAAGGGTAGGTCTGGGGCTAATGTTTAGATGGTGGTTCTGCAGAGAGTCCCGACCATGACTGTAGTGCTCACGTGAGGGGGTGATTTCAATGCGAGGGCTCAAGGCTGCAGGTCGGGTACTGTCCAGGTAGTTTCTGGCTTCCTGGTTCTCGTATCCTGTGAGAACTTCGATGTGCTCACTGTAGGCGGGGCTGCACGACTTGATACCATAGGGTGAGGTCTCCTCCAAGGGGTAAGCCTGCTCAGATTCAGGACTGAGGACTTTTGGGGGTCCAAGGTTGGAGTCATCTGCAGGGAACAAAATGTTTACATTTATTACAATGCACACATTTGAAAGAGAAACGGGCATATGTTTGTTTTTAAAGAAAAGCTCATGTTTTTCTTTACCAATATCACTCAATGAATGAATGAATCTTAATCAAAGACGTGTTTCTTTTCAAAAACAACACAGGTTATTTTTAGCTCAAATACATTTATCAGCTGAAATATTGACTTTTTTTTCCACATGGCGAGGCGTCAGAATCCTCATTGCGAAGTCAACTTTACTTCCTCATTTTTCATTTCATTCACATTAAGCAACTTTAAAGGCCTCGCTAGTGGTCAACACAGCAGAGAAAGAGAAAGGCAAGCCAACTCAGAGTGCCAAAAAGAAAAGTCTCGGACAAACCTTGGTGCCCCCCTGCAAAGTCACTGCACGGCGGCTCATATTCAAACAGGTACTCAAACTGCAAATCCTCATCGGGGCAGCTGACTCGACTGAGCTCTTCCACCAAATCTTTTTCGTCGTAAAAGGAGGTCATCTGTCTATTTTCTTCCTAACTACTCCTCTGAGTTCACACGAAGCGGCAGGGACGTGGACGGCGAATTGCGGTGTAGATGTGGATTTGGGGAACCTGTTGTCAATTCATGCATCGGTGAGCAGCAGAAGGTGAAGCGCACACGTTTCCTGTTCAGTTCGCCGCGGTTATTTTCGTACGGAGGCGGGTCTATTTACACACTAAATACAAACTCTTTATGTTCATCCCCGAGAGTCCGATCACGCCTTCTCTCTATGCTGATGCGTCAAACAACAAAAAGCGCAAGTGCAGTTTGGACGTGAATTAACTGCTCAGATCAAACAGAATACTGATTTGACGGGCTACACAGCCTGTTGCTGCCCCCGGGTGTTTGACATGGTGACATAGCAGGGTGCCGACTATGTTCGACACCTGTCAAGCTGAGTTACCATTAAAACGCGGTTGTGCATCGCTTTTGCGTGGACTTAGATTAAAGAGGATAGATGGCTGAAAATAGAAACGTTTATTTTATCTGATGCATTATCTCGTCAAACAATAAACCCTGTCCCGGACTGGATTTCGTAGTGACGTACTGTTTTATTGTCACTGAAAACCCACGGGTTCTCCTGAGGGTATCCCCGGATTTACGCACGACGCAGCACACATACCAGGGCGTTCCTTACACCGGTAGCATGTGCTCTGTCAGCAAAAAGCTAAACAACGGCAGTAAACTTTAATTTTTCTGATCTCGTTGGTGGTGTTATATAGAAATCACAACTTTATTAAATCGTTGATTATAGGCTTATTTGTTTAAATCCTTAATGAAGACGGAAAGCGTGTATCCCTATCAGAGAAGACTGATGAGAAAATCAATCTCTGCATGAGCCTATCAGTCTTTGCTACGTTGCATTTGGTAGACTTGTGCAGAGTGCCCTTCTTTCTCCCGATCAGCATCGTGCAATCCAACAAGTAATTCTCAATGGCAATCAAAACTTTGTAGGCGACCGTGATTTCAAAAGCACGCGCTGTATGCTGATTTAAAGCGCCAAACATCAACATCCCAGCTGTCTCCGAAATGTTAGACAGACAGCCGACAAATGACTGCAGCATTTCAGGCATGAACACACTAGTTAACACTAGTCTATAAATTAAAAATCAAATGGGTTGATTACCAGATAATCACAACACTTCAGCAGTACCTTGATCCATCGACCTCATGGTGTGGTACTGTGCCAGCCTCCAAGTCTCTCTGAACATCTGGATACAAAAAACTGGAAACAGGAATGTAAAAAAAAAGAAAAAAGAAAGAAATATCTGGAAAAACTAGTGTCCTCTAATAACCATAGCAGAAGAAACTCTCTTCGGTTAAAATGCTGAAAGCGGAGTAAAACAGGAAAGAAAAACTCTGTAGACGTTCAAGTTAAGGCTGCGACACGGCAGCTGTGCGCAAACTCCTTTTCTGTTCAAAAACATGCGGCCGCATCAGCAGTGGCTCTGGTATGAAGCCCCTCTTCCTAGAGCTCTATAAGGATTACTTGAGTATCGAGAGCGGCTTCCTTCCCCGCTCTGGGTGTTTATAATGGTCCAATGCTGTAAAATAACGGGATTCCCTCAGTGTTTCCTCCTGTTTGTGCGGCTTTGCCATGGAAACCTGGAGCTGGTCCATGTCGGAGACTCAGGGCTTTCCTGCAAAGCCCCACACTCAGGAATCCATGACGTCTCCAGCTCCTGCGCCAAGGCATTTCTGCGGTTCTCTCAGACAGTAGCACACAAGAACCTCATTGTGGGTATGAAGAAATTACTGTAGGACATTGTAGGAAAGAGAGAGAAAAATGAAAAATAGCTCTGAAGTCTAATCACAGGCTACGCTACGTGAAATTTACTTAACATAGTTCACCCTACTCATTCTTCTACAGTTCAGTTTGAACTATGAGAGACCAGGCAGTAGTAAGATGTAGCTTTTTGGAGCAAAAACTAAATCCTTTTTTAGGCTATGGCTAATTTTGAACATGGAATATGGAGAATTCCATTGCTTCCATTGTGGGAAGACGTTACTACCCATTTCCATTTTAAAATGGAAATCTGCTGCATCTTCTAATACTTGGCTGGAAAAAATCTGAACAAGACCAGGACATAGCGTGTCCCCAACAGACCTGTAGACACATTTATAATTCATATAGAAGTTATATAACCCAGCATCTGAGGAGAGGAAGAATAATGCTATTTTGGATTTAACTGAGCTAAAGATTTGTTATGTATGAAGGTTTCTGCCAGACATCTAAATCACAGGCTCACTTCTTCATTCCAAGAAACTTCATTTACTGCATTGTGGAGGGAGATCACCTGAGGTCACAAAGACATGGGACTTTACATTGTAGACTTCATCTTTTTACTCCCAGACGTGATCTTTTTGGAATAAATCACAAAATAATGAATAGGAATGATATTTCACACAGCACAATTTTTCTCGTCTCATAAAACTTAAAATCGCACTCTTGGGAATTCAGGAGGGGGGGTGGCTCATCTATCTACCTGCTGAGGTTTCCAGCTTCTGAACAAATACTGACAGAAAACTTCAGGAAGAATGGTTCTGAAGTTTTATCGTCATAAATCACCCCTAGCAGCAAAAGGTCTTTATTTTTCATTTGGACAGGAGAGAAAAAGTTTACGTTGTAGATCAGTGCTCCTGCTAAACCGCTACTGTTTCACGACCATATGTGATGAATTGCGATGTTTTTAAGAAGCTGAAGTTTATCCAGAATATATTTGCATAATTAAGAAACTGGGAATAGAACATTAAGACTTTCACATATTGCCCAGGAGAGGAAGACATGCTGAATAAGCCATCGAGAAGAGCCAAGTTAAACTATACATTGCCGTGTCAGTGCCAAGAACTCAAGCCTACTCTGCTGCATTAAGTGTAGTGTGTTACTTATGACATCTGTGGAGTTTGTATGTATGTTCAAAATACCCCCAAAATAAAAATTTGCCAGAAAAACTGAAGTTTTTATACTATTTCATTGTACAATGTACTACTTTCTTCAAAGAACAGCACTGCTGGGATGTAGGGGTTGAGGACCTGCGAGGATACCTCTCACTTATCTTTGTATTCTAGTCCTTACTTACCACCATATGCGCTCTTCTGTAAAGGGAATTATGCACACTGTTATATGAATTCTTAATTTCTTTCAGGCACTGAACAGTCTTCATTTATAATAAGAAGAATCTGAAGTGTTTCAAAAGATTTTGTGTGTGTTTGGCTATTTTGAGACTATATTTGTAACCAAACCCACAAAGGTGCTCCAGCTCAAACAGTCAAATGTCTCACTTCTTTAGTTAGCAAAATGGTTTTCATCAAGTTCAGATATAGCCTTTAAAATTGCATTAGCTAACACATTGTGCTGCTGGAACACAGGAGTGATGACATGTCCAGTTCATGTTAACGTTACCAGTTAAAGCAAATTTAAAAAGCACATTTGCTTTGTCTCAGACTGCATCTACATTTGGAATGCCGAGCCTCAGTATAACCTCAGGGAGTGATCCCATGCTTACGTTAGTCATATTAGTCCCAAGGCCAGTCAGAGGAAAATGTGTGTACTTGAGAGAGAGAGGGGGGTGTAATCAGAGGATTTATTTTGGATTGAGATATTGATCAGTCTGTGTTAGGGAGTTTGTGCTAGACAGCTGGGCGAACAAGGTGACTGCAATGAGTCTGTAAACCACAGTGGCCAGAGCCTACGTTTTGGGGGTAACCATCCAGCAGGCTCGTCTACCAGCTCTAAATTCCTCCACTGTTACGGAACACTTATGCAACTTAAATCATGAATGAGTAAATGAATATGGCACAGGCTTAAGAAAGGAAAACTGCCTGTGTCCAGACAGTCGAGTTTGCACTTCCGTTTTTTTTTTTTTTTTCATGAGCCCACTTTTTCCAAGGTCATGCAGTATTTTCCATCACTGTTAAAGAGCTAATTGAGGTAAAGTTGTCTGGGTTAGAGCACTGCCCTGTTAGAGTTTTCCAAGGGTAACATGTGCCGCTGAGCTCCTAAAACCAAGCATATGGAAATATTAAATTGTCCAATGGAAAGCTCTCCCAGGAAATTCAGGGGTCAATGAAAAGCATGGACTTTTGACTTTGTTTGGGTCTTTTGATCACCTCTCTTACTTGCCAGGTAAAGTATAGCTGCTTTCTATTTTGCAATAGCTCTGAACTTTTCACCTCTTGACAATAAGTGGAGTAACTGTAAATTTTCTCAGGTGAGCAGCAGGATACAGACCATAACAAAGAAAGAAAATTAAAAACATAACAGTATATCAACAGGTTTATTAGTTTTAGTGGGCTTAAGTCCATGTCATACACCGTTTAAAGCATGCAAACAATGGCTAAATACCAAAAAACAATCATATGAGAAGACTGACACCACTGACATGTTGGTACCCTGCAAAAAAAAAAAAAAAAGGCCAGAGAAAACTGGCAGTTAGCTTAATCCAAAGACTGGAGATAGCAAGTCTCTGCAAGAATGGAAGGTACCCAGATGAATCCCCCGCCCCACATTCTTCTGTCAAGTCAAACATCTAAGTGAAGTGACACGAAGCAAAATAAATGTGACTTTAATATTAGCACAAAGGAATCATTTTCAAAACTTATTGCAGAAGCTGTCAGCGCACACCTCAAACATTTATGGATCGCCTTTTAATGATGTGGAAGCCTTAAAAAATTAGAATGTGTTTCACAAGTATCACCAGATATTAGACAAGTGCTGCGGTAGCCGGCGAGACCACTACTGACAAGATTTCAGTTTGGGCAGTGCTGCCTTGTCATTGTGCAATAAAGAATCTTTATTTCCTTCCTGCCACAACTTGAGATCTGTGGAAAACATTGTCCTTCTTTTTCCAAATCGTGCAAATGAACTAATATGTTCCACTAACATGGAAACTACATACATCCACGCTGGACGAAACCAGCTCATTATGTAATAGGATTCTGATCAATACTGGAATGTCTGTAGAAAGAATTCAAGTGTCTTAAATCCAGTGGAAAAGTGGCAGACTGCAGCTCACGGATTTTCCCCTTTTCAGCACCACATAAAATCTCACGAAACAACATCGCCCCCCTTGTCGACACTTCTGTCTGTCGTCTTGAAGTTTCCAGTTCAACTCAGCAGTGTTTCATTAGATCTCTCTCTCTATCTATTATCAGTGCAAAAATGAAAGCATAAAAGTCAATATTTGGTAGTCATAACAAAGTTAAATAAATCCTATCCAAAAGTGCAGCTAAAAAAAACCTTACTCCTCCCATTACAACTCCATTTATAACAACAATTGAAGGTATTTTGGGCTCAACAATCACAACTAATCACTCCTTTTTTTTTTTACTTATACTGCAACGAAAGTCTTAAAGTGTTTTGGGCGGTTTTGTTTGATTAGTTTGGGAGGTATTACCCAATGTCATTAGTGATCGCTGGGAGAGGCAGCGAAACACATATGCAGCCCTTCTTTAACAGTGGTGGGTGCCGAGACAAATCAAAGCATTCCAGGCCCACAGGGTTATAAATAGTGTCAGAGAAGGGTGTGTGTTCATGCCTTGCAAAGTTTCTGTGAGGAGCCTGTCATTGCCAAAATCCAGTGTTTACACAGAGCAATAACAGCGAGTAGTAAACAATTCATCTGCAGTGGCGTGTTCATTATTTTGTGTCGTTTCAAATAATCCGTCAATGGTTTCTGTTATTTCAAAGCAGCTCAGCAGATAAGCTTAATGTGGGCTATAATCCTAGGAGTGTTATTCAAATTTGGTCTATTGCGCGAATTCATTATGCCTTTAACCAATCCAGAAGCAAGGCTGACCTCAGGCTGAAACCATGCAGCAGAAGTTAGTGTTGTCTGTAGGAAATTGGCAATGGCTTTGGGACCTCGTTGATGTGGCTGCCTTGGCCTTAAAGTTGGGTATAGATCCCACATGTTTCCATGCTATCATTTGTATTAACCACTCTAGTCAGGGGCCTGTTACAGCTGGTGGTATATTCTGTAGCAGATTCATGATAGTCTGCTTCTCTCTTGCGCTGTTCCACTGGGAGCTGTGTGGAGGATGTTTCCAAGCTGGAAACAAATTCATGTGTTGAAGTGCCAAAGATAAAATGCAGCGATGTTGTGGTAATTAGCTTAGATCTGTTACATAAAAGCTATATGCTACCTTTTTTTTTTCAAAGCCTTAAAGTCAAAATCTTGTGAAATGCTAAATGTTAATTTGAAGATTTACTGAGATTGTTAACTGGATAGTGAACTTGGCAGTGAGCCAGCAGGAGCTCTGTAGCTGGCATCAGGACAGGAGGAAAGACCAAAATGTTGAGGTTAGCAGGCAGCTCTGTTGATTCTGGAGTGGAATTTCAGTTTTCATGGGACAGATTAAGTTAAATGGTTTCTTTTAATGGTATAACTTACGCATTTGGGCATGGAACAAGAAAAAAAAGTTGGATAAACACTGTAGTTTTAATTTGAACATGCCGTTCTGAGGCGCTTGACTGCATTTTGAAAAAAGGAAAAGGTTTTATGACTGAGAATCTAGTCCTGTTTAATCCTTGAGCTGAAATGCCAAGCAAACACAAACACTTTTATATCTTTTAACTTACATGAACAATTAATAAGGTTGCTTCTAAAAATTCTCACAGAGCATGGACATTGATTTAAAACAGATGCGTTTTCCACCAAGTTATGGATTTTATGAGCTGTGATAATATTTCTAATAAAGTCAGATGATATTTTGTGTTATATTATTTCTCATTAAGACTGAAATAAGATTAAAACATGCAGGTCGTGACCATGAATGGAAAACAGAAGTGTC